CGTTGGATGGATTTGTGGCTTGCTCTGCTTTATCTGAAAGGTTTTGATACTTTTTCTTGATCATAGATACTCAACTTGATGGCTGAGTCATTGTTGGTACCACCGTCAAAGTTTTCCAGGATCCAGACTGGAAGTCAGATGCGGAAGCAGAAAACGGAGACTTGCTTGGCGAAGATGATGATGAAGAAGATGCGGTGCAAGAGGTAGCAGACGCACCCACCAGAGAAGCATTTAAAGCTCTTCGTGGGTCATACAAGAACACCTTCGAATTTGTCAAGGCACTTTACGCTGACCCTCTTCTGCAGCGTCGCATGAGAATGATCGTTGATGGTTGTGGACCATTGCACTCAGAGTACAAGCTGCAATTGAAGAGAGAATCTGAAGGTCAAGAGTCCATGTTGGCGTTTGCTTGTGAGAGGGCCATTGGGAAGACCTGGTATGGCACTATCTGCGAGACATTTGCACTGGCAACGAGTTCAACAATTACTGACCGGTTGCAGCTCACACCAAATGTATTCAACCAGCCTATGGACATTGATGGCATGGAAGCCGATGATGACTTGAAAACGGAAAAATTACTGCTGTCAGAATTTTTCTCGCTCATAGTGAACCTGGCATCTAACAGAGCTTGGACCCAAGCATTCTATGGACTCACTTTTCCTTTTTGCTGTGCGCGTTTGTTGTCTGCAGAGGGTGCCTCAGTCACAGTTGTGAGTCGATTGGCCAGGGGAATTTTGAAACTTGAGAAGGCAGTCAACGACAAGCCTCAACTGGAGGTTCTTCAACGCCTGTTGGCAGATATTGGCACCAACTGCTGGGTTGTGACCAGGGAATGCTTCATCACTGGAATGAATGCAAACTGGAACATAGAGGATCCTGAAGTCTTGCACATGTGCTTTGCACTTTTCGCTGGACCAAACAACACAAAACAAACGCTCGAAAATACTTTTTCCAGTCTCAAGGATGCTGTGAAGAGATTCAATCGAAATACAAAGAATTGTGGGCCCACCACCAAGTGGTGTTATGCATGCACTGCGCCATATGCCAAAGAGGGTGGGCTGCCACAAGTTGAGCTGGATGCTTCCGATTTCATGGAGTTTCATCAGGCTGGCTTGAGCTGTACCAAGTGGTTGAAGGAACACCCCTTCAACGCCTTGAAGCATAGCGTCGCTGATGCTGTGCCAAGCCCAGGTGATGTGGTGGCCGAGACAAGGAAAGCTGGGCCAGATCAAAACCCAGCCAGCGCCGCTGCAGCTGCCTTGGTCCTTTCTACAATGGACAATTCTTTTGAGAATGTTGGAGATGCGTGGGCAGGTGCTCTGGATTGACTTCAAGATTTGCTTTTCTTAGATCTGTTTTTGTTGTGGTTCTATCTGTTGTTTGGAAGCTATGTGTTTGTTCTTCTATTCTGCCACCTCACTGTCCATAACAAGGTCTGGTAGTCACTTGAAACTTGAGAAGCTGAGGCTGTCTGTTCGTGCTGGGAGGGTTCTATTTCAACGTGATCACGCAGAAATTTTACCTTTCACTGGGATTCAGATTCTGTGGGATGCAAGCCATTCTGGTTGAGAGCAGGACTATTGCAGGGGAGGCACGCACATTGCTGTGTTCCACTTGGTTGGTTTTGGTATTCTGCTGAAGTATGTCATGTTCATTGCTTCCACCATCTGGTACTGTCAAAACACTGAGACCCTGTCCAGGTCTATTTGCTGCCAAACCCTGAGGGTTCCAAAACCCCACTTTGGATCTTCAACTTTGACGCGAGTGAATCATGTCCCTGGCGGTTCTGCCCAACTACGATCTTGCCTCCCAGTGCTGTTTCAGATTGAGTTCGCAGAGAACTTGGTGCTCCCATTGTCTTCAAGCAGACTTCGGTATATGAATCACTGGTTGGAGCAGCAGTGCGCGCAGGGCATGACTTTGTGATGTGGCAGCTCAGAAAAATCATCGCGAGTTGGGGATTAAAAATCCCCAAAATTGGAACAGGTAAGAAAAACCGTGTTCTGAAGAAAGATCTCTGCAATGTACTCATTGAGCGCTTCATGCAATCAGCTACTGATGAAGAAAAAGCACAAGTTTTACAAAAGATGCTGGGTAGAAAGGTGGCTACTGCAGAGGAAAAAGAGCAAGGTGCAGAATTGGTGTCAGCGGTCGCAATGCTTGGCGCATCAGAGGGTAAGGCCTATCAAGACATTGTCGATAACTGTCTGAATGAAGTACAGCGCAAGACTGAGAAATTGCGCGCAAATGCCAAGCCACAGGAGAAGCAACCAGATTTGGAGCAGGAGAAGACACCGATGGTCAAACCAGACACTTCCGGTGAGGCCACAAGTGAACCACCCACTGCACATGTCAAGAAGGCTTCGGATGTTGAACGTGCCCAGCCAAAGGTAGGGTACAGCAAAACACCTGCGCCTGCAGAGCTAAAACAGCTTCTGCCTGACATTGGTGGTCTATACCTAAAGTGGTCGACTAGGGATAGAAGAGTAACCTGTGAGTTCCTGAACCTTAAAGGGTCAGGATTTCAGCGCACCAAGACCAGTTCTTGGCCTGCCTACTGTGGTGTACTGCCAAAAGAGCAATCGATGTTCACCATTTTGAAATTCATTGAACTCACCAAGAAGAGCCACTTTCCTGATTCGGACTCCACATGGCAAATGCCATCCAGGGAAAGAATCTTGGAATGTGTAACGCAACTTACAGAGCGGCTGGCTGCTGAACAGAACAGTGGCAAGTGACAAGTGAGCCAAGCGGCAAAGGAAAAAAGAGTTATCCTTCAATTCCACTCGAAAGAACCTTGCTGAGATCTTTCATTTTGCTGACCCCTCCTTGCCCCCCCTGTCTTATGACCCTATGATGGTAGTGCGAGAGTAGTACGCGGAGTAGCTGGGGAGCGGGAAGATGAGAACTGGCGAGTGGGTAGTACAACTTGAGGGCGTGGAGTATCTGGGGAGCTGGGAGATGAGCACTGGCGACTTTGTAGTACAGCTGTAGTACGCGGAGTAGCTGGGGAGCTGGAAGCTGAGAACTGGTGACTTTGTAGTACAACTTTAGTACGCGGAGCAATCTGTGGAGCTGGAAGCTGAGAACTGGCGACTGCGTAGTACAACTTTAGTACGCGGAGTAGCTGTGGAGCTGGAAGATGAGAAGTGGCGACTTGGTAATACAACTTTAGTACGCAGAGTAGCTGGGGAGTGGGAAGATGAGAACTGATGAGTGGGTAGTAGCTGAGAACTCGCGACTTTGTAGTACAACTTGAGTACGAGGAGTAGCTGGGGAGCTGGAAGATGAGAACTGGCGACTTTCTAGTACAACTTTAGTACACGGAGCAATCTGTGGAGCTGGAAGCTGGGAACTGGCGACTTTGTAGTACAAGTTTAGTACGCGGAGTATCTGGGGAGCTGGAAGATGAGAACTGGCGAAGTTGTAGTACAACTTTAGTACGCGGAGTATATGGGGAGCTGGAAGATGAGAACTGGTGACTTTGTAGTACAACTGTAGTACGTGGAGCAGTCTGTGGAGCTGGAACCTGAGAACTGGCGACTTTGTAGTACAACTTTAGTACGCGGAGTATCTGGAGAGCTGGAAGATGAGAACTGGCGACTTTGCAGTACAACTTTAGTACGCGGAGTATCTGGGGAGCTGGAAGATGAGAACTGGCGACTTTGTAGTGCAACTTTAGTACGCGGAGTATCTGGGGAGCTGGAAGATGAGAACTGGCGACTTTGTAGTACAACTTTAGTACGCGGAGCAATCTGTGGAGCTGGAAGCTGAGAACTGGTGACTTTGCAGTACAACTTTAGTACGCGGATGAGTCATCTCTCGCGGCTGCTCTGGCGCCCCTGCAGCTGAGTCATGTCTCCCGACCACCCGGCTCTCTTAAAAGGTTGACACACACACAGAGACCCACGCACTGCCTCAACTTACTCGGACACACACACACACAGACAGAGACTCATACACACACAGACATAGATACACACACAGAGACCCACACACTGCCTCAACTCACTCGACTTAACACTTCACACTGAACACTTAACAGATAACTCACACTCTGACTTCCTACGTGATGAAAAATGCTTTCGGGCCACTCGTCGTCTAGTTTGGGGGAGCGTTTCCCTCATCAGGAACTTCTGCAAGGCAGTTCTGCACGTTCTACACCCTGTTTTCGAGTGCTTGAACTCTTGGCGCTTGAGTTCGTGTTGATGTTGGGTTCAAGTCCCAATGATGGGGCCTAAAGAATCCTAAAGAGGTTGCATGTCTTTTTGGTTGTTGGGCCATGTTCCTTTGGGGTCATGCAAGCAGCTGCACGCTGCTTTTGGAGGAAGAATTGCCAGCGTATTTTCTTGGAAACCTGTGCAAATTCAAAGCTCCGCGGCTCCACGGATCAACTGCTTCACGGTCGGCATCCTTTCGGTGGTGACATGCTTTGACGAGAAACTGTCAAGACATTTGGACGCCGCTGGGTTTCTCGTTTGGGGCGGTTTTGTGGGTGAGTCTCGGACAGTGTGATCGATTGGGCTGGATGACAGGCTTTCGAGGCGATGAGAACTAGTAACTAGTGATTTGTGAGGATCAACAAAGGGCTGACTCAGCGTTCGATTGGGCTTCCAATCAACAACTCCTCAGAACGAGATCCACACAGAATCAGGGAGAACTTGAAGCAAAGTTGTTTTGGATCACACAACTCTAACTCTGAAGGGGAGAGCCCTCCAGCTGCTTTCAACCAAAAGCCAGCGGCTTGACCCTGGCCTTGCATTTCTTGAACTCAACATATAAAGCACATTTTGGCACTCCACGAGCCAATGACATTGCTACTCTCCCCGGAACATCCCGGAACTACGTCACATGAAAGTGAAACCCCCCTGTTTGTAGGAGAGAATTGTCTTCCGGGGCCATGGCATCCACTTCCATGTGGGTTCCTCGGAGTGTACTTCACTTGCCCCCCAAACCCCCCTGCAGGTTCTTTCAAAAAGCGATCCGCCAAATCACCGCAGGCACCCCGGATTCTGGATCCCATCGCGGGCACCGGACTTCACGCCGCCCGGGGGACCCGGTTCTTTGGGGTCACGGCGACTGTTGCAACACGGGTTGGAACGGCGGGGCCAGATGAGCAACGAGAGTCGCTCTGCCGGCCTGCGGCGAAGATGGACGAAGATGGGGGATTTGAGGTGCGACGTGACGTGGCCAACTCTGGGACATCTGGCCATGGAGAACAGCATGGTGCAGCCAAGGGCCACATGGTCAAGAGATGGCACACACATTTGTTCAGCCCGACTGGCTATCCAAGCCATGCCCAGGGCCTGTAGCACATTTCTTGTTGATGGACCCTGCAGCATGGCGTCGGAATGTGTCGGATTTATCCTGCGTCCACCAAACTGGGGTTGCCTCAGATTCACAAGTCGAGCGTGGGCCGGTGAAGCATGAGGGTGTTTGGTTCTGATCAATATATGGCTTTGTGTCACTGTCATACACAAATACGTATACCTGCAAACCACTCTATCAAGTCGTTCAGTTAGCCCAGTAAGGAGCCATTGGGATGGGAACCGCGTTTGCTGAACCCACAGTCAGAGAGAAGACCTTTTTTGTGTCGATATAGTGGCTGACACGGATGCAATCGCATGAAGCAATCCACATGAGTTTTGCGATGCGTCGTTAGCACTATTCAACAGCAGTTCTGCAAGGATCAAGACAGCTACAGTGCTTTGAAAACAACTTCAGCCCGGATAGTGAAACACTTGGGGATCGGACCAGATAGCGATTTTTCAGCATGTGGCTGGGCATGGGGGCATTCATGTCATTGTTGTTTCTTGCTTCTTGTTGGGACCTTCACTGTCTTCGGGATACGTACAGTCCAGATCATCCTTTCAAATCAAAATCCATCCAGTCAGAAACCAACGGTCTCCCCATGTCCCCCCTTGGAACCCGAAGCCGAACGGCTCCTCCTCCGGTCGTCGAACGTCGTCCGTGTCCGAGGTCCTGCTGCGGGACCTGGGCTGTGAGGCCGTTGGACGTCGTTTGACGTTTCGGTCGTTGCTGGTGGCAGTGAACCGAAAGGTGGTGAGTGGAGTGGGCCGGCGTGGGGTGGGGTGGGGTGGTTCTCGTCGTTCTGGGCCGCATTTCGTTGTTGTTTCAACGTGGTTCGCTATGTGCTCTTACACAATGCGTTCACAACATGATACATGCCAATATGTCAAGGTACATGTGTGTGCCAAAAGCCCGCTCGCTTTCCTCCGTTACACTCGCTCTTGTGGGAACAGCGGGAGTGGTAAGCCTAGATCCAGAAACACACGGACCACGACTTGAGCTGCCACTGCCGGGGGGATTGGACCCTCAAAGTGGTAGCGGACCACGACGATCTAACAATGTACATGAGTCCGACTCAGAAGATGAAGAAAACATTTACACCCTGGAAGACGATCCCATGGACCCTGAAAACCACTGGTTGGTAGAGGAAAACAATCTTCCCGGGGGCCAGGACGTCAAGGTCTATGTTAGTTTTCGGGAGTGTAAAACAAAAAAGCGAAGAAACCATCTTTAGAGACTGTAGACTCCCGATCTTGGCGCAAGCGCCAGCGAGACTGTACACATTCTGTCAGATGTCAGGAATCACAAGTGCATGGCAGTGCAACAGTTTTGGGATGTTTTTGGTGAAGTCACAAGAGACCAGTATGAGGAGGGCAGAAAGATTGTAAAGTGAATGACCGTTTTTGGGGTCACGCCTTTGATTGAACCTTTCTAATCCATAATTTCAGTTTCACGTGATTAGGTTCATTTTGACAGTTGGCTTTCCTTATGCTCTGCCCACCAGCCAACCTCAGATGTATAAAAAAGGTTTCCAAGACTTCTGATTTTTGTACCACATGAACGGCGTCACTGACCAGGTGATCTTGGCAGACTCAGTGCATGGGGGATCCACCCAGAGCAGTGGTGCGGACTGGGGGCTGTTTGGAGAAGGAAGGGACAACTGCCTTGACCCCTTTGTCAAGCGGGGTGTGTGCACCAATTAGTAAGTCTACAAACTTCTTCCCCCACTTTAGTAGGTATGCATGGCAGGCCACGTTTGATATCTGATCCTAGATTTCTGAGACATCCCACGATCTTGCAGAATCCTACGTCTATTTGTTGGACATTGAAGCTCATCCAAGCTATACTAGGATATCTGCAGAACCCTTCCAAATTTGAGAAGTCCAGGTTTACGTCTCTTGAAGCAGAATTCCATTGAACCATGTGTGTACATTCTTGTGGACCCCGCTCCCTGCTTTGAAAACTGCTCCGTCTTCCGGTGGACACCGACCCGCTCGAGGTCCCGAGTCCACAGGGGTCCCAAGCACCGCCCTTCTACGAGCGGTCCACATAGAGGTCTCGATACATAGCCTGGGGGTGTCCAAACACCACCTAGGCTTGGAAGGTCCTGGTAGAGAAGCTGACTGCAGAAATCCGGTGTTGCAACCAGTGTCGCGAAAAGAAGAACTGGATTTTTTCTTCAGAGCTGCTTTCTTGGCGAAGCTGTGATAGGCTGGGGGTTGTTCAGCACCTGTTGTTGATTGAAGGCCACACCATGCAAACTGCGCCTTTGCACCGTGCGAGGACACGCAATACTTGCAGCAGTGCATCAGCTCAGGCAGGAATTGTCCTTCAATCGTGCGAGTGGAACACCGATGTCGGTAGATGCTTGACGGATGCTGGGAGAGCGTGTAGATTGACTTCCTGGCCGAAGGTGTTTGGACAGTGGTTTCCCCTCTGAAAGATGATTTGGGGATAGAAACCCTAATGTAGACTTTGGATTAATAAAACCACACATTTGGTTGAACAACTTCTTCATATCGGGGGTTGAATTAATCAAGAGTCTACTATTATACCTGGATCCTCGTTTGGGCGGAAAAAAGTGCCGGACCTCAATCCGGCAAAATTTTCCGCCGGATTCCGAAAAAAAAGTCGGAGGCCTGAAAAAACATCCGGATCCAAGATTCTGAAAAACAGAGATGATAAAAGGTTGGATCATACACAAGCAAACTGCCTTTGCGCCGCGAGTAGTTTTTCTGGAGCACACTCGAACCTTCCCGTTCCCATTGCCCTCGCTCTTCCGAATGGCCTAAGAGCAGAAATCACAAAATATAAGCAACTTGTGCCCAAGCAAAGACTTCCAAGAAAAAACCAAGGAGTATGTGGCAAGGAACCCCTCTTTCTCTGCAACCGTGTCTCTCAAGTGTTTTTTTACAAAGTGGGTTGCTCTTCATGATTCTCATGCTTCTTAATGTTTCTTTAAAGCTTGCCTCAGGACGGCCCCCCAATAAAGTAGCAGAACTCATGGTTCCTGTCAAAACTCTTCTGTGAAAAACTGTTCACAATCAAAGGCTGCAGAACACTCAGTCCAACAAAAATACGCCGGAGTTACGGGAAAATACGCCGGAGTTACGGGAAACTACGCCGGAATTACAGGAAATTACGCCGGAGTTACGACGTGCAATTTTTTGACAACTCTCTGCAAAACATTGAGATTCTGAACAACACATGTTCCACAGCCCAAAACGTGTCCGGCAGGCTCTGCAAACCTGCGCAGCTAGAACTATATCCCAGCGCCCCGACGTCCTGAAACAATGGGAGTACTGTACATGTTTGCCTATGCTCTTTCAGCTTAGGTGCACCCACTTGGGTCTTTCAACAGGTGCATCGCACTGTACCGGCTTCATCCGATTTCATTTAGAAGATCAGCTAAACGGATCTGATTGATCCAGTGTGAACCATGCTGAAACCGGTGGAATGAGAAAACAGCGGAACAGGCAAACGAGCACACTTTGCAAACAAAATCATTGCATCAGTAGTGGGTTTAACTTCAAAGAAATGCAGACCACAAAGAATGCAAAGCCTTGAGAATCCACATAAAGTGACTTGGAAAAAGCGCCGGACCAAATCCAGAAAAACGCCGGAGTTGGAAGTCCGGCGCCGGACCCTGTAAAGGTGCCGGACTGAAGATCTAGGTATATACCTTAACAAACAGACACCAAACAATTGCCTCGATGGATTTCCACCGGGGTGAATCTGAATCAGCACTTACGTTCCCCAATGCCCCACACCATCCATGTATGGAATAATTAGCTGTTGACATACTTGCATGAGGGTCATCAATGGTGCATGTAAATCCAGTGATGCAACTATTCCGTTTTTGCATGGACGACAAGGTGCTTACCCACCTTCCACTGATTACATCAGTGGCCATGGGATATACCGCACATACCACGTTATGTCCCCGTAACAAAAGGCAACGAGAGATGTCTTGCCTCGCAGGCTCCTCCGCCCGGGCAGCCGCAGCCGCTCAGACGGCGGCGGCGCAGGCAGCGGTGGCTGCCGCCGGGCCGGCGCTGGTGGGAGACCCCGTGGGCTACGGAGGAGGTGGGGGAGATCCTGCGAGGTGATATGCGAGGTATTCATATGGAGATACATACTGCAGTTCCAGGGAGGTTGGGTGCCGTTCAACGGAGGGGTCACCGGGGTGCCCATCCTCCGACTCCAAATCCGACTCACTCCGCAGTGACGAGATCCTGATGAAGCCCGGTTCTGCACCACATCCCGCACCTCAAGCTCCGGTTTAGGGTTTTTGCGAGATGAATCCGATGAAGTTCAAGGTGGCAACCCCAAAAAGTGGATGTGAGCCACAAGAATCACAAGACTCTCCCCTACCTGGCCTACCCTTAAAGGGCCTGTTTGACCTCTTCTGTGGCATTGGAATCGCCATGTTGGTCAACATTCTGACCCACTTCGGTGGCCCGGTTGTGCCCAACCCTTCGTACTGGGGTCAGGTCTTGGGAGGCATCTCCGGTTCCATCCAAAAGCCTGAGCTAGATCCCTCAAAAGTCCAGATGATCCGAATCCAAGAGTTGAGAGTCTGGGTTAGATGCCGCATCTGGTATCTCCGGACCTGATGGTCGAACGGAGGTGAGTGCTTCCAGAGAACGGTCTTTGGTGCTAAAGACAAGACCTGAGGTCTGGGCTGAGCTTCAGCACCTCGACATTTTCGATGCGGGAGAGGCCCGGTCTGTGGAAAACCAAGTAGACGTCGGTTGCGTGAAGCAATAGGACTGGAAGACGACCTCATGAATACTGGAGTTGGTCATACAAATGCAATATTTAAGGAGGTAGAAGACCAGGTTTTACTGGGTCAGACTGGACTGACGCAGGGTTACAGTCCCATGGATTGGTAAAAATTCCAGTCGCATGGATTGGTGAAGGAATGCCGCTGATGATGAATCTTCTAGGACCTCAGTAGATGATGTTCCTTTTCACGAGGTTGGATCAAAGACTTTTGCTTTGAGTTTTGTGCCCAAGAGGGTCGGGGCACGGCCTGATGATTCCGGCAGAGTAGACAGCAGCCCACGTCAAAAGGTCGGTGGGAAACCCAATCTGAGGAAACAACAGGTCAATATGCGCCGGTCAAAGTGCGCCTAGAAGTTTGTTGCGACAGCTGTTTGTTGAGGAAGCTGCGCTGATTCTTTCCAGCAAAAGTTATTGGTTTGAGTTTGAGTTCTTCAGTTGTGCTACGAGTTTCCAAGGAGGCCAGTGGCTAATGCAGAGCTAACTGCAGAGTTTTGAGATTTTGGAAGCAAGCATGAGGCCATCGCTATTAGTAACAAAGGGCATCGTTACGAACGGAGCAATGTTCGCTACGAACGGGGCTCCTGGCCTTACTAGTAACAAGAAGCTGCTAGTAGCAAGCATGATTTATTTGAGGAAGTTGAGTTGGTTGCTGGAGATACACCTGGACACTCTCAAACGATCCTATGGGACCCAGGTCGCGGTTTGGAACCCGGGTCGTCAGACTGTTTTTCCGTTTTCGAACGCTGGGCCAGTGGTTTTCAGGGTTTGTGTGAGTTTCAGTGGGGTAGGAGTAGGAGAACCGGGAACCAGATGGGAGAACCAGGGTCTCTCACTCAGGATCTTCTCAGGCACTGTTTCTTTCCTCAGGTCAAGGAGCACCTTCTCAGGATCTTCCAGAAATATTTCTCGAAACCAATCCGACACCTGGGACCTGATGGGCAAAGACCCCAGGTTTGTTATATATTGCATGGTTATGCATGGGTGTTTTCTGGATGGCCACATGACGTGATGGTCAGAAAGGCTTTTCACTTGGATCCGGCCACACAACATCACGCTTCTCAGGCTGCTGCGGCTTGGTGGCAACAGCACGGTGAGGCGAGGTTTCTGGGACCTTGTGGAGTCGGCTTGTTCCGGGGATCCAGGTCCATCGAGCAGTTCAGTGAGTGGGTCTTTTGGATATTTGGCCCAGAAAGGTGTGGAATTCACGCAGTTTGAGACGGGGAGGACATACACTGAAGCACCCTGACCTAGTTACTTGGTGTTGCAGTCCAGGCATGGTTAGCTATTGGTTGGCAGTGATTTAGGCCGGGCTCAGGTTGGTCACAGCCAACCTCACAAATAGCAGTAGAGATGAACCACGGCGCTTGTTGCTTTAGTCAGGAACATTCCCAGTGTTCAGAAATCGCTTGGCCACGGCGCCACGGCTTGGTATTCCGGTGTTCAAAGTTGATATGGTACCTTGCCGCGCTAGTCAAATGCGGCTAGGGCCGCTAGGGTTGGCTCGAGGTTGTATTACCTAGGCTTTTGAACAAAGCTGTTTTGTTGCCTGCGGCATTGGCAGAGGAGTGCACTAGATCCGCCCTGGACCGCTTTGCACATCTCAACAGACTTGCCCACCCACTCTCAACAGACTACTACATTTGCGACAAGCATATTTAAAAATAATAGTAGTAACCTCACCTCAATCAAAAGCAAAATCAAGTTGGCGCAATTTGACTTTGTTCATGTGTGCCGGAAGACCGCCACTTTGAGTTTCACACTTGCATACTGCATACACAACATTTAATCACATAGCGTTGTGCATGATGGCCTGTTCTCCACTTGAAAGCCACCGGTTGTGACTTCGAGCAAGGATAATCATAATGGCCGTATATATTTATAGCTTGCGTTTTTTGCAGATCATGAATGGTCTTGAGGATGCCCCATTGCCGCCACTATTCTCAAAAAAAATCCGTCTCTAGCTTTCCATGCGCGATTTTGCTGGTGTCAGATCAACAGGCTTCCACTTGGTTGCAAAATCCTTCATCAGAGGTTGAGATTGAGATCCTTCAAGCAGAGCTACGCCGCACTCATCGGATTGTCAGTGGATACGGGTCATTGTTGGAAAGGTGTGAGGCTAGTCAACGGCGTCAAATTGTTGGAAATACGATCTTTTGCGCGATCCTGTTTGTCCTGTCCTCACTATCCTTTTTTTGTCAGTTGGTGCCGCTGTCTATCACCACAGCCATTGCAGAAGTTGGGGCCGGACACTCCTCGGATTCTGACAATCCAGGGTCAAAAAGCCAAGCCCTCCCCTTCAAGGTGGCAGGACCGCAGAGGCCATGGACTCTGTCTAGACGACAGACATGAACGACAATTCAATGACCCTCGACATTGCTGAGCCACAAGTCCTGGTCCATTTTGACCACGACCCCAACAACCTGACCGAGCACCACAGAATTCTTTTGAATAAGCTGGGGCCGGGACGTTGGTTGGGTCTCACCCCAGACCACGAACTGGTGGTTCTAGATTTGAACATTCAGTGCCACATTGTGCTAGATCGGCGTAGCCGATTTCCAGACCATATTCATGACGGGATTTCTGCATGTGATCCTTTGAGCCACAACGAGCTTGAAGGCTTCAAGCGCCGTGCCAAAATTATGAACCTGGTGCTTGGAGATGCAGACATGCAGGATGTTGAAGCGACGGTATGGGTGTACTCTGACCCAAGTTCGCAAAAGCTCGGTGAGACAGTGCCGCAAAACTCTCTCGACCAGGCTGTTGTGCTTGGTGACCGGGGATTGCTGGAAGTGGATGGTGTCATTGAGGCCATCCGAGAAATTTACCAAAGCGAAGTAGCGACCATCAAAGACTCTGCAAAGGGGTCGGTGGGTGACCTTAGGACCACAGGCCTTCACAAGGAAGCCAGAAACGACGGCTCATCGGTTTTGCAGATGCCATGTCGTTGGTTAATGTTGGTTAGGGAATCGAAGTTTGAAGATTCGGGCTGGAGTTTGTGACCTCAATTCGCGACACTCAGGTCCCAGTGCAGGTTTCTTGCAAAAAAGCCGCAGTGCTACAAAAATCCAGGCACGTGGACGCTGGGCGACACAGAAAATAGCATCTTGAGGTATCAAAAGCATTCCAGTGGGTAAGTTGCTGAATCGATTCTGCCTTGAAAAGATTTCGATGCTTACGCGCCTCCACTTTGGAGCCTTCCATATCGGAGCTGCCTTCAAGCTTGTGTCAATATGCCAGCATCGCTGCTCAGTCGAAGGAACGTGCATTTCGAAACCCTGCTGAGACACAGACACTGGTGAAGCAGACAAGTGACGAGCGCTGGGCAGTTGAGGGTCATGTGAGGTCTGGCAATTTACAGCTTGCGTCTTTTGCAGATCAAGAAATTCCATCTCCCTCCACTCCTCTTCACAGGGCTGCTGCAGCATGGGTCCAAAACCTCCAAATGGTCCGGTGCAGTGCAATGCTGCTCCGGGCGAGAAAACATGAAAGTAACTGTGCTGTCCACCCTGTCCACTTCGTCCATCAGCCCTGTGGGAAAAACCCTACAACCTTCGCAGACCTCGCGGAGAAGATTGCAGTGGGCTCAGAGTTCAGAGTAGATGGCACAATCCCCAAAAGGTGGCTTATATGGACCCATCTAAAGGACATCATGGGGCTTGTGCCAAAAACACTGTTAAAATACGACCAGGAGTCACATGGAATGGGGTGCTTTGTCTCGTCCCATCCAGTGAGTACAGGTGATGTGACAGGGGCACTCCGCACCTCACCTCACACCCCGAGCTTTGTGACTCCTGGTGCGTGGCCCTTTAGGAAGAACATCTTTAGGAGGGGAGAACGTACTGATCCGATACACTAGCAGTTCCGAACGAAAAGGAGGGAGTTTGGGGCCGGTTTGTAAAGGGGCTTGGAAAGCCACTTGCTAAGCATCCTTCCAGCCCATGTTGAATTGGGTCGCAATCAGTCACAAATTTGGAATGACCGTATGGGCGGCAGTGGAAATAAGGCAACTTTGGAAGTGGAAACGGAAAGAACTGAATGAATCACAGTTCTGACTGTTTGGCAAGTCTTCAGCGTGGGGTCCTTGAAGCATGTTTGACCAACTAGTCACGTCACTGGAGCCGCAGGGTATTCCAACTGCAAGATACATCCCTTCATGGCTTTTCTTTTATGGTAGAAACATCTACTTCGAAACCCTTTATTTATTGCACCCATGTCCCATGACCCCCTGCCAACAAACGCCGCCCTGCTACCGCGTCGCACCCATGACCGATGGAGGCGCCGAACGCTGTGCTGATGCTCTCCTTCCCACCACCGCCGCCTTCGGAGGTGGCCGAGGTCCGGAGAAGATGCAGCGCCATGCTTTCGAACAGGTCCTGGTGAGAAAAGTTGACTATGAACCGTGGTACCCGGTAGGTTGACCTCCCCAGGAGTCTATTCTGTTCAGGTTCTGCGGTCAAGCAACGAACCCATGGAGGGGCCATCATTTCTCCAAGAAGAAACCAAGAGAGCGAACTTCCCAGCACTAGAAGTTGGGCTGGGACAGCGCAAAACATCAGTGTGGTCTAATGGCCTTAGATGCAAGAATTGTTCGTTGACCGATTCCGTGAATTGTACAGCATTTCAGTCTAAGAATCATCATTCATGTGGCTGCGGGTCAACAACTGGAGCCCGATCTGCCAGGGGAACCCACCCTCCGATCCTCGGAGCGTGTCTTCCTCTATGGATGGATCATTAGACACTCTTAAATGCCTTCATCAAAAAATCCACAGGCAATATATATATATTGATAGGTACCTCTTTGATCCTCTTTGGTTTAGTTTTGTCTGTATGTAATTCATCCACATAAATCGTCCAAATGAGGTACCTCTTTCTCAATCCAGAGGAGTTGGACGTTTCTCTTGTGTCGCATATGCTTAGAGAGGTTCAGTGACCTGAACTAGGACCCGTAACCTGGGGTACCCAACTGGGATAGGCTAGTTCGGGTCCTTCAACCTCTGTTGGTATGCTTGTCCAAGAAGAACGTGCAAACTCCATCGTCATCTGATCATCGTCAGGCGGCCCTGCGTCGTTTCGGAGGACGCTGGGTCCTGTTCATCGGCGGCTCGGCGGAGAGATAGCTCTCGTCCTTGCCGGGATTCGGGTGGGTGGTGTCAGTCAGAGAGATGAGAGAGATCGATTTGTCTCGCATTTTTTTTTCGAGTATATAGTAACATTTTGGGGCGTCGCTACGAACGGAGCAAGATGACGCTACGAACGGAGGCAGCTCTTGGCATTACTACTAGAAACAAGGAGCTACTAGGAACAAAGGGCATTTTGATGTCAAGTATCTGGGGTATTCTGGGGTCTATTTTTTTTGTTGGCGAATGATTGTGAACTCATGCAGGGGCCATCTAAAGTTTGTCGTATAAAGCGAGTTGAGGCAAATAGATGCAAATAGTAATTGCGGAGAATGGCGGAGTGAACCAATTGGCCTATCTATTCAGCCTTGCTGTTGGCCACGTTCCTGATCATTCTTTGGAGTCTAAGGGGGGCCTTAGAAGGTCTGGGACGCCGCCGCGTGGCGCCATCCACGTGAAAGTGGTGTACACCTTCTAGTTGCACCATAGGTGAAAGCCACCTGCAACTCAGCATATGATATGGGGATTGGTCAAAACCTGCTGCCCGACCTGTCCACCATGTTTTCCGGCGAGCTTCGTGACCGATACGAAAGGGCGCCGTCGTGTGTGGTCGGTCGAAACTCTCCAGTGCGACCCACAGCCATTTTCGGACGGGGAAACGAGGCGAGTGGCGTGGCTGTACTGGTTCAAAGGCTTTCTTCGACCGCTTGGAGGTGAGGAACCCAGTGTTTGCGTCGAGTGTTTCAGGAAGCGGAGGAAGCGAGAACGAAGATCCGATGCGACAAAGCCACAAGGGCAAGATGTTCCTAAATAACGGGATCAATGAAGATTTAGCTCGTGATCATTTATACAAGATCATTTAGCTCGTGTGTTTTGTGTGGTATCAATGAACCGGTGGCATTGACTTCACGTCACCGTGGATATCACTGGTCATAAACATGGCCAATGCTACGTCTAAGGCCATAAATCGATCATCCAAACCAAGGGTCTAGATTGAGGCTGTGTGGTTTCTCACAGGTTTGGTGGTCCATCTACAAATCAGTCATACTACCACCTGACACCCAACACCAGAACCTTGCCAATCTCTTGCCTGTAAGGAAGCTGTGGCGGTTGTGCAAGCTTGGGAATTGCCTTGGCGAGTTCACCAAACTTCTTCATCCAGTTGCTTACCGATATATATATATATAACCCTATAGTATCACAATATGTTATATTTATACATAAGTCATCAAAAGTTGGTGAACAACAACGATCCTCCTGGGCCCTGAAACGGCTTCTTCTTTCTGCTTGACCGGGTGTCCGTGCCATTGCCAAAGCCATCGCAGCCGCTGCTAGGCCGAGTGGCGCTTGCTTGGGACCTTTGAAGTGCCCCGCTGGCCGATGATGGAGGACCCGCATCTTGGGAGGAGGGGCAATGAATTTGACACACCCATTCAGGAAAGGTATCAGGACCATCCTGTTTGGGTGTTTGGGTGCCCTACACTACTGATAGGTCTTCATTGGACATGATTGGTTCCCAGCTGTAGCCATTAAGTGAGGGGTTATAAATTTTGAGTATGCTTTAAGTGACCCAGGACCCACAGCTGTTGGTATTCTATGTTTGTTGATGAAGGGTCTCAACACGCACAGGGTTCACGACCCCATGTACACATATGTATATAATAATTGTATATATGTTATATATACAGTTATATATATTAGATATATAAAGTCCTCCTTGTCTTGTAGAATGTGGTAAGGGACAACAAAAACACGTTTGTTTCAGCAGCATCTTCTGCAGGACAAGGCCTATTTCCTCGCACGGAGCGAAGATCGACCAGTGGAAAAGAGTTGCTTTCGGGTTCCTGGCTGTGGTAGTCATACGCGTACCCCTTTCATTTGCGGGTGGGCTAAATCAATTTTGGAAGATATGAGCTCTTCTTCATTAGCCGTTCAGTCTCATTCAGAAAAAGCTAGTGCAAACTAAAGTAGACACCCAGCAACCCTATCAGATCGGGGAATAGATAGTGTTTTTTTGTCCTTTTGACCCTGCCAGGGTTTGTGTGATTCTCCAAACCCAAATTGACACACCAATGCCATGGTCATGTGAATTCTATCAAAGCTACGAAGGGGGCACAGGCGCTTGGAGCTTGGGTGATCTTTGGACCATTTTGGATCCCTAGGGATTTACAACTACCTGAGGTTTAGCGTTTGGATTTGTTTCCTGGCTGTCGAGTTCAACTCGCGAGCGACAAGGATGCCCAAGGATTCTCGTGCCTTTGAAGAAGTGGACGCGAGCGACATCCGCTCCAAAAGCCCGGCATGGTTTTTGGAGCGGCATCTCTATATCTTAAGGTCTTACAAAGTTGAGTTCAGGTACCACGGAGGTGACGAGTTCGTACTTTGAGAGGTAAGGGTCGGAAGCAAAGAAAAGGACCTAAGGACCCTTTGGGAATGTAATGTTTACCTACATTGAGATCGGTCAATATATGCCAGTCCCATGGAGCGCCAGGGTTCGATCCTGCACTGGCCGCCCCACATGATCTCAACGATCTCAAGGAAGTGCTAGTCGCTCTAGCTCACGCAGTTCCTCAGGGAAAGAACTAGGCATCCATTGGTTTTTGGTTGCTGGACCAAAAAAAACATGTCCACACTGGATGGTGAAAATTCCCCCAGTAGGCCCAACATCGGGGAGGAAGATTTCACATTAAATTCAGTGTCGACATTAGTGTCGAATGTTACTGATTCTGGCCCAATCCACCTCTCCAAGTGATGATTATGCTGTTGCCTAACAGCAAGCCTGAGATAGGTAAATGACCTTGCACTTGTGTCTGTGATGTCACATTCCGTGATTTCATTGAAGGGGAGGCCTTCCCTCCAGCAGCTTGGATAACCGACAGCAGTTCTTCTCAACACGTTCAGAAAGGGGTCTGCGCAATCCTTTGCGGGCTTGAAATGGTGCTGAATCCAGGAACCAGGACATCGAATCTTAAGCAGCAAAAGCTCATGCAAAGCGAAGTAGCCTCAAAAACCATCCCTCTTTTCGAGCAGATTTGGACAACATGCCCCATCGATCGACTGTTCTTCACATTCGGGTCAGCCACATCGGACACGTCGGACGGGCCCCCACAGGTACCCCATGATCCAGAACGTTCTCGTTCACCTCACAGGCCAGACGGCACCGCGATTGTTCAGAGAAGACTACGACTGAAAAACCCAACTGATCTCAGCTCACAGGTGTGGATCTGTGATTGATTGTGATTGTGTATTCGATTTACAGGGTTGTAAGGACTTTCTATGTGGGTGTTGCGTGCCTTTGTGAGGCATATGTGCATGCTTGGCGGGTTGATAGGACATGGGAATGACTACTTTCGTTTTCTCATCGGGAACTGAAACTGAGCCAGCCTCGATCTTTAGCAAAAGTCTATTGCATTCCCGGGGCCGGAAGGGGTAGTTGACACAAATAGACCAGTATGGTTGCAGAGGACCACTGGAGCAGGACCACTACAAAATTGTCCCAAAAACTATATAGACTTCCATACCAACAATGCAGGAAGCACTGCTCGCAGTGTGTCCTTTTGCTCCTTCAGCCGAGCTGAGCCGTTAGGGAAGGAAAAGCCTAGTAGCTTCTTGTTCCTAGTAGCGATGGCCTTCAACCTACCCTAGTAGCTCTTGTTCCTAGCTCGGGAAACATGGATAACATGGGAGGTTCTTTTTTATACTCAGAACCGACCCACTGCCCGAAAAACTGTTTTTTGACCGTGCCTCCCGTGCCTCAGGCAGATGTTGCGTGAGAATTCGGCGGAAGTCTGATCGAAGCGCGGCGGAATGGGCGCTTGAGTGCGGGTCTGGGCTGATGCCACAGCGAAGTCCAACGTGTCGCTGGGGCCTGTGATGAACGGGTGCAGCGCAGGTTTGGACAGATCTGGAAAACAGATGGCCAGGAGCCTTGAAATGTAAACGTCCCAAGAAGACTGTTCGGTCCATGTTAATGTTGCCAGTTGGCCAAAACTGACGTTGTAATATGTTGTAATTGTAATCGTTTGATGTCTTGCCTGTTAAATTATTATCAGCAGCGCGGCTGCTGGCAAGATAGCTTCGATGGGTCTGAATCGTTGGGTCAGAGTTGTGAATTTCCCACTGAGAAGAGATGCATTTGCTGTTCATCAAGAACCGTTTGAGCTGTTTGATTCTTCACGGTTGCCAACCTTTGCAAAACTATATATACAGTTGCTTGTGCTAGAATATCAACAATGTTGTTGAGGCATACCTGATAGGTCTTCTCAGAAGCTCCGCTATCTCCTAGAGAAATGACACCATACACGTTTACCGCCTGGCATACACTTCACAGGGGCTCAGAACCAAAGCCACCATTGAACAACAAGCGGCTCAGCCCCGATGTGTCGGACTCCGGCGCAACCTGGCGGGTCATTCTATCATCCAGATCCTTCAGTAGGTGGCAGTAGATCCACCCAAGTAGAAGATCAACCGATCAACCGATGAGTTGGCGGGTTAAGAAACCCTCCCCGATCTTTTTCTGAAGATCAACCGATCCACCCCAGTCTTCAGTCCCAGACCCCTTGCGGCCTGCAGCCTGCCTGCGGCCCTGCCGTGCCCCAAAACCAGGACGACCCACGGGGTGTGATGCGTTTCGTTTGCAGCTTGGATCGTGTCGCTCATGGAGAAAAGACATGGTCCAAACTTGGTTGTGCCGATCGGGCGAGTCAAAAACTGTCCCCTGCAGATGCTGAATACCCTTTTGGGGAAGAGTTTGTGTTCCTTCTCCGGTTCCTTCAGCTTTGGTGTTCACGATGCAAGACCTGGCGCAAAACGCGCATCTTTTTTTGGTGTTCTTAGGTAAGTAATTTGTCTGGCTGCAAAAGTACTAACCAAACCTTTCCTTGTTTGGAAGCAAACTGATGATGTAGACTCTTCAGTCAGCGTCAGTTGAAGCTTTGATAGTTTTTGCCGGAGTGAAAAGGGGCAGTTTGTGGTCCAATAGGTTCTACATGCCAGAGGCTTCATTTGTAACATAAATTTGTGCTACGAGATTTTTTGGGTACGTTTTCAAGTGAACAGAGATTTCCGCTCGACCCTCAAAAAAACGCTCGTGCTGGGTACAATCCCCCACCTTCCCGCCCACGCACCTGCTCGCCCATGCACGCGGCCGGGCATTGCATTTCAGCCTTTTTGCCGGGAACCCCAAGTTTCCACGCTTTTAGCGTGAACTTTCACGAGAACTGCCGACGGTACTGCATCAGTATCCTGGTAAAACTGCGCATGCATGTCGTGAACTTGTGGCACCGACGGGACACTCGGGAGCATCGCCCAACAAAATCTTCATCTTGCCAGCATGCCCAGTCTTAGTGGTGGTGGTCTTGGTGGAAAAAACCTCAAGGGTCATCCCAAAACATCCCAAAACTTGACACCATACCTGGGTCAGGCTAAGATGCTCAATGGGTTGATGATGTACTTACATCCAAGCGTAATCCCAGAGTGCTCCAGTTCTTCCCTGAGCTCGGGAGCACACAAACAAAGACCCTCCAGACAGTTCTGATAAAAAGAGTTTCTTGAAGAAACATCCGACAACAGCTAAACAGCCTAGCACTTAATCCCCTCAAAGCAAAATTGAAATCCTGCAGTACTCCGCCACAGTTTCGCTGTATGGTCGTGGATATGGCACTTGGGCTTGATCTTGAACCGGTGCAAACCCTTTGAAGTCGCCAGGCTTGCTAAGCCCATGTAACCCTCCTAAACTGCATGCACAAAGGGCAGATTGATGTCACCAAAAAAGAAGGTTGGGCCTTTTCCATATTAAGGGCAAAGTGGCAAAACAAACAAACCTTGAACATAAAGACAACACTGTAACTCATTCAGAGGTTCCGTCAGTCCAAAAGCTAGATCAGTTAGCCGTTTGGCCTCCTCACCCGGCACCCAAACTCCAAACTTGTAGAGGGATCTGAACCACCCATTTGCGCAGTCAACCGTGAACTTGATCACATCGTACGTATCGCAATCGTTCGGATCCTCAGGACTATGGGGGTGATCGGGGCACATGATACCAAACATCCAGGGCACACAAAAACTTCAAGTTATACGTTGGAATAAAGCTCGTGCTATGCAGGCTGTTGTCCAAGTGTTCCCGGGAAATCTGCGAGCAAAGTTCGGACAGCCACTTGCAAACCACAATGCAGTCATGGCCCTGTCCTTGGAGACTGGGGTACTGCTTTTGCCTGGGATCAGGGTTGATTGTCAGGGGGCAAAACCTAGGCGCAAGTCTTGTTGGAACAAACGCTTCATAGAAACATGTAAGTTTGAAGATCAGCCCATGGTACGTCTGAACCTTGAAGGTCTTCAGACTGAACTCGCTGATTTTTGTGGTTTCCTTGTTGCTCACGCACCATGCTCTGAAGAGGATGTAGGCTTCACCAAGTCGTGCACCAATGGACCTACCATCGAACACACCCATACCAGCCAGGGCAATTATGCAGGAACCACAAAGTTCCTTGCCAAAGCCAATGGCAAAAACATGAGCTAGGTCATCTCGGATGCGCTTGGGGTCTGATGCGCCAGGAATTGAAATCAACCTTGACTGTTTGTGCGTTTTCCATGGTAGCACAGTAGTTCGGCCACTTGCTTTCCATTCCTTCATGGCACCATTCCGCCCAAGGTGCCACCATTCCTTGGCTATATCCCCCAAATCTTAACCAATGAAGCTGTGCGTTTTTGGGGGACTCGTTTGAAAAACACGAATGAAGCATAAAAGGGTGCCAGAATATGATCCTTGCTGCTTTTTCAGAACAGTGGTGACAGATTCTACCAGACGTCGGCCCACTCACCAAAGACATGGCCTTTCGCAGCCAGGGCCAATCGCCTTTCACACCAACCCAGATCATGAAGAAGACTTGATTGTTTACCTGGGCGGGTTAAATTCGACCTCACGTACAGCGACCAATAAAGGTCCTCCACAACAGCTAGGAAACCCCGGGGTGCAAGAACGCTGCAATTGTTATCTGAGTGTCGGTGACCCCTTCAAAGAAGCACTTCTCTAAGTCAGTGGAGGTAAACTGAGCCATGGAGTCTAACGTCTTGTCGTTGTCAGCGTACATGTCAGCTGGCATCATCGAGGCCAGAAGTCGGGTGCACATCGAATGCCTAGGCACAACTGCCGGGGAACGGGGAAGGGTTGTGCTTCAAAGGAACCAACCCTTGAAAAGACATGGCAAAAATTTGCCAATCCAACGCAGATACCCACTCATGTTGGTTTTCTCAGGTCCACGAGGTCCCACTACCATTTGATATGACTGGATCAATATGGGAACCTTCCCCTTGCCACGGCCTTCATCGCCATGAAGACAATAAGGCAGGCATCTGCCCCATTCATTGGGAGACCGGTTGGTATATAGGGTGACTTGGGTCCACCCTTTGGTAGCGTGACCAGAACTCGAAATAGGTCCCGTGGAAGTCGTCCTGCATAGAATGGCCGCCCAAAATGAATCTGGGGCAATTCTTGAGCAAGTACGACGCCCAATCTGACAAAGCTATCATGGGGTAATGGAGGTCCACCTCTTTGACCGTCGGCCGGTGCTGTTTCACCCGAAGAAGCA